AAATCCTAAACCCTGAACCCCAACTCTGAAGGCCCCTCGTGTTTTCTTTGTCCCAGTTCGGATGCCATTCAGGAGTGCGATCAGGTGACTGAGCCTTGGCGTGCACGTTTTCAGGCTTTCGGGTTCGGGGCTTGGGGTTCTGGGTTTAGGGGTCAGGGTTTAGGGTTTGGCAACTATGGTATCATGGCTCAAGTTTAAAGATTGGTGTAGCTAGAACTCAATTGCATTCAAGGGTTGAAGTTTTCTAAGCTGACAGCAAAGTAGCTCCGCAATGATACCTTGCAAGCTCTCTGCAGCATCCTGCTGTATCCTGTAACCTCCACTGCTGCACCCGTTTCAGATTCAGTCGAAGTACGCTTTACGTTTAGATTGAACTTTCAGGGCGAATTGTCTCTAAACCCTAAACCCTATTTGGAAGGTTTGTTGTCAGGGTTTGGGTGGAACGTTTTTGTTGTATGGCTTACAGCAGGGCTTAGTGCCGAAGCTTTAGAATTGGAGTGTCTAGGGTCTTTTGGGGAGTTCGCTGCCTTGTCTGGGGGGGGGGGGGGGGGGGGNNGGGGGGGGGGGCGAGGGGCTAAGGAGGGCTCCGAAGATTTCAACGTCGATTTCGATCGCTTGAAAGGCACACTTCATAGTTAGCACTATGAAATCGCAAGGACTTCAGGCTTCAAGTCTTGCTCACAGCTATTATTTCGCGAGTACGCCGGGGAATTGTTCATTGAGGGTGAGATGGTGGACACCAATCTGTTTGATCCTAGCAAGGAGTCTCAGTAGCAGGACCAATGTGCGTTCGTTTCCCATTACCAAAACCTTAGACTTTGCTAGCTGTTCTGTTATGAGTTGACTTCGTATGATTTGGCATGTGCCCGAATGTCGAGACCTAGACTTCGTTTTGCTCCGTGGGTATCTGGAAAGTAACAAGCAGCTGGAAAGGGTCTCGTTGAACTTCTGCCAGGCCCCCTAAACCATGCAACCTCAACCCGGGAGCACAGTGGATGTTCATAAAAGCGTGAAGCCCCAAACCCTGAAAGCCTAAACCCT